CGCTTGAGCCCAGGAGTTGGAGGTTGCTGTGAGCTGTGATGCCTGCACTCTACCCAGGGGAACAGCTTGAGGCTCTGTCTCAAAAAATAAAATAAAATAAAAAAGACTGCTGGCTTCTCATAGAAGGGGTGACCTTCCCTGAGCACACCCCTGTCTTCCTGAGCCCCTTCTCCTGCCCTGCTTTTCCTTCTCTTCCCCACAGCACTGGCCACCTGCTAACACCCTGTGCCCATGAGGGTACGCTGTGCTTGTTCTTTGTATCTGACTCCTCCTCCTGGAGCATAAGTGCCACCAGGGCAGAGCTGTGCATCTATTCTGTTCTCTGAAGTTTCCCCAAGTTCCTAGAATAGGGCCTGGGGCTCATGGAAGACACTTAGTAGATACTGGTCCAGTGAGTCAATAATGTGACAAGGTCTCCAGGGGATTGTGTGAAGAGCTTGACCTGTGTCAAGCTCTGGCTTCCAGAGGACTGGTAGGTGCTTGGAAAGTCTAAAGGTGACAGTGACAGGGCCAAGAGAAGTGGCTGCATTAAGGAGGGCACCATGTCCTTTGTATTAGAAGTGGCCCCTGCTGAGGTGAGCCTGCTTGGGGTTGTCCTTCAAAGGCATCTCACTGCAGACCTGGAGGGGTGAAAAGGCCCTAGAAGGGAAGCAGCTGGAAGTGGCCAAAGAAAGGAATGTCCCTAAAGAAGCAGCACAGATGGAGGCCAGTGCAAGCACCCCCGGAACCGACAACAGCATCTAGAAGAAAAGATCCAGCTTTGGCTATTCATCTCGCCAGAAGACGCCTGGGACGTAGCCTAGCTGAGCAGGCCATGGTTCAAGCTCCTCCCTCCACCCTGGCCTGTCTCAATACCTTCTTAAGGTAAGGATCAGGCCAGGTGCAGTGGCTCCCACCTGCAATCCCAGCACTTTGGGAGGCCAAGAGTTTGAGATCAGCCTAAGCATCACAGAAAGACTCTATCTCTACAAAAAATTTAAAATAGCCAGGAGCAGTGGTATGTGTCTGTACTCTCAGATACTCGGGAAGCTGAGGCAGGAGAACTCCCAAGCCCAGGAGTTCAAGGCTGCAGTGAGCTATGATCGTGCCCTTGCACTCTAGCCTGAGTGACAGAATGAGACTGTCTCTAAATATAAATAAACAATCAAAAATAAAGGAGAGGATCAAGGCAATCACAATGAAGCACAGACCTTTAGAGTTCAGTGAAGATGTGAACATATGCTAAAGCCAAAGCAATTGATACTTAGAGTAGTTAGAAACATGCCCACCCTCAATCATAAACCTACACATAAATAAAATAGCTAGCGCTATCTCAAGGCACCAAAGATGAAACACTTAAATTTCCTACATGAGCATCACACTGGCATATTAATACATACAGTTTTGTTTGTTCTGCTCCTCCCCAACCCCTCTCTGCTGACACGCACACAGCAGCCTAGCAAGGCTCAGCAAGCTCAGTGTGGGAAAAGCAGCCACAGCGTGAAGTCTTTGTGTTCAGAGAGACACAAAGGAGAGTGAACCGTGAGGGGCCGACATGTGCCCCCACTTAGCAAGGTGTAAAGACCAGCCAGCTGGGGGGCTTTCTTCTTCCTACTGGGTTATGAATATCCACATCCTGCCATTTGCAGCTGCAGGTGGCAAGCAGAGACATCTAACTCACACTTTCCTGCGGCAGGGCAGGGGGCTCAGAGCCAGGAGAGCCAGGAAGAAAGCAGCCTTGGTCTTGGGCTTGGTGCCCTCTCCCCTCTACCCATGGGGATGCCCAACATCTCCACCTCTGTGAGGCTTTGACAGCGACGGTCGCCTTTCCAAGTAGAATTAATCGCTCTTTCTGGGCTCTCAATACCTCCCTTTGGTTCATTACAGCACACGTGGGATAACCATCTTGTCATTGGCTCTGACAGGTCTGTCTTCCCTAGCAGACCTTGAAAACCTATTGTGCCAAACAAAATTCAAATGGAAAACACTGCTAACCCCAAAACACAAAACTTTTTTTTTTTTTTGAGACAGAGCCTCAAGCTGTGGCCCTGGGTAGAGTGCCGTGGCATCACAGCTCACAGCAACCTCCAACTCCTGGGCTCAAGCGAGTCTCTTGCCTCAGCCTCCCAAGTAGCTGGGACTACAGGCACCCGCCACAACGCCCAGCTATTTTTTGGTTGCAGCTGTCATTGTTGTTTGGCGGGCTGGGCTAGATTCGAACCCATCACCTTAGGTATATGTGGCTGGTGCCTTAGCCACTTGAGTCACAGTGCCCAGCCTCAAAACACAAAACTTAACAGGGGTAATTTTTTTTTTTTTTTTTTGAGACAGAATCTTATTCTGTCCCCTAGGTAGAGCTCATAGAAGCCTCAAATTCCTGGCCTCAAGTAATCTTCCTGCCTCAGCCTCCTGAGTACCTAGAACTACAGGTACCCACCACAATGCCCAGCTAGTTTTTCTATTTTTAGTAGAGATGGAGCCTTGCTCTTGCTCAGGCTGGTCTTGAACTCCTGAGCTCAAGAGGTCCTCCTGACTCAACCTTCCAGAGTGCTAGGATTACAGGTGTGAGCCACTGCGCCCAGCCAGGTAATGCCATTTCAAAATCTTCTCTGTAGAATTTCTAGTTGCAAGGTCCTGGATAAGTTCATCAAAGCCAGATTTTCTCCTTCTCTGCTTTTGGTGCTCCTGCTCTCCTGGCCTTGAGGTCATTTTTGCCTCCTGCATAAGCCTGTCCTGGTGGGGGGTGTCCTTTCCCCTCTCTGTACACCCAGTGCCTGGCACAGGGCAGAACCTACTCAGCCCATGTTTCCTAAATGAAAGAAGCCCAACCTGACCCGAGTCTTAGGCCCTGATGCAGCCTTTTCATCACAAAAAGATGAGTGTGGACAGACTCAACCAGATCCCATGGAGGTCAGTGCCCCGGGAGATGACATGCCGCAGCGAGAAGGCACAGGGTTATGCATCAGGATGCTGGTTCCAAACCCAGCTCTACCTGTATCTTGCTGTGTGACTTTGGCTACAGCATCCCCCTCTCTGGGCCTGTTTCAGTAGCTGCAAAATAAGAAGGTTGAACTGGCCTTTGATAAAGACTCCTTCTAGGATCCTTGTCTGTGAGCTCTCTGTCTCTACAAAATAAACAGAACTCCCTTACCCAGGCCAAGCACCTTACTCAACAGATTAATATGGAGCTCATCCCTTTGTTGGAAGCATCACTTACAATTTGCTGCAACATATTTTGCGTGACGATTTACAACAGTCGATTGGTAAGAGTCACTTGCAGGGTTCCTTCTGATCCCTCACTCTTTCTCTGATTGGCAAAATCCTGCTCACAAGCTCTCCACCCCGAATAGGCTGCTTCCTCCTTGGTATTCTACTTTTGCCATAACCACAGTGGAGCACCAAATCACAAAGAAGGCAAATGACCAGTGGGTATGTGGCTACCATCCCCTAACAACAGATGACCCCAGTGGACCACAGTCCTGCCCAACCCACACCAGGCAGCACCACCAATCAACCAGATCTGCTATCCTGGATCACAGCTCTCAACTAGGATTGTGGTGCTGAGTTCCTGGAGTGAGAAACTATGTCTTGGGCATCTTTATGCTACCAACCCATACGTAGCACAGAGCTGGCCCATAACATGTGCTGCTAAAAGGCCTACCAGATGGACATAAGACACACTCTGGTCTTTGGGCCTCTGCCCCTCCAGCACTATGGGAGTCAGAAGTAGGCACAGGTGAGGAGCCAGAGCCTGGAAGGTAGTGGGGATTTGTTGTACCCTGGTCAGGAGCCCAGGTCTCAGGGGTACAGTACCTTGTCTTTGACACTGTGGTCACAGCCAGAGCCCACCAGGAAGTCCACAGCGTCCAGCTGCCCGTGCTCAGCTGCCCTGTGAAATGCCGTCCTTCCCAGCTGGCAGGGAAGAGAAAGAGCATGAACCTTCCTCCCCCAGTCAGTGGGCAGCCCCGCTCTGTCCACCTGCCTCTGTTTCCCCTGCCACTGTGGCATTGCAGTGGCCCCCCTACCCCAGAGATTCTTTTTTTTTTCTTAGACTTTTTTTTTTTTTTTTGTAGAGACAGAGTCTCACTTTGTTACCCTTAGGAGAGTGCCGTGGCGTCACACTGCTCACAGCAACCTCCAACTCCTGGGCTTAGGTGATTCTCTTGCCTCAGCCTCTCAAGTAGCTGGGACTATAGGCACCCACCACAACGCCCGGCTATTTTTTGTTGCAGTTTGGCCGGGGCCAGGTTTGAACCCACCACCCTCAGTACATGGGGCCAGCGCCCTACCCACTGAGTCACAGGTACCACCCAGCCCCAGAGATTCTTTTCTCTTCTTCCCTTGCCCCATACAACCTGCCTGGAAGGCCAGACCCCATTTCCCAACAAGAGTCACTTATTGGGAGGTCCCTCCCTACTCAGATCCTTAGGTGCCTCCCTGCTGCCCACTAAACAACAAATTCCTCAGGCTGGGGCTCAGGATCTGGAGAGGGCCCCCCGGGAACCCCCAGGCTTTTCCACCCAAGATTCTGGTCCACTAGCACTCACACTAGAGCCCTTTCCCACTTCTAAAGTTCTAGAAAGGCTCTCTCCTCCATTTGGTCCCCCACCCCTGATCTCCAATCTTACCCACAAATCTAATTCATTCGCCAAATGCCACCCTCCAGGAAGCAAAAAGCAGTGGCTCCCTTCTCTAATCCACCTAAGGGCCTCTCTGAAGCAAGGGGTTATGCTCTGCCTACATTCTGCTCCTCTGTAGCCCCACACCTCTTCCAGACCAGCAAACCCAGGTAGGGACTCTGTCCACAGATCAAAGGCTGCTCTCAAGGAGTGTGGTAAATCAGTGGGCCAGACTGGCCCAAGGAGACCCTAGCCCAGGGAAGGACAAGTAGCCCTGAGGCGCTCTCACCTTGTCTGTGTGGTCCAGGTTCACATCCTCCAGGTCCTCCATTATGAACTCCAACACTGGCACGTGGCCTTTTTGGGCTGCACAGTGCAGTAAGGTCAGGCCATCCTGGAAACAAGCCCAGGATAATCCCTGCACTCTGTGAAGGGAAGCCCTTCTCACACACTGCCTGTCTTCCAGGTGGCGAGCGTTTGGGAACCAGAGCACAGCTTGTCCATGAAAACAACGCTGTCAGTGATGAATGGGCCCCTGGGATGACCCACTTTGGTGCACACTCAGCTTCAGAGAGGCCGATGGGAGTTGGGATGCCAGAGTTCAAATCCCAGCTCTGGCACTCATCAGCTTGTGGTCCTGGGCCAGTCACCTCCACCTCTCTGAGCCTCCGTTTTCACATATGTCTCTAATTAGGATAATAATCCCTGACCATCTCAGTTGGTGACTGAGAGGACCAGTTTATAAACCAAAGTATTTTATAAGCTGAAAAAAGATTCAAACACGTAAGGTAAGGTCATACAGCACTAGCAGTCCCTGGATCATCCCCACAGAAAAATTAAGAAGGTTCTAGGCATCTATCTGCCTCCCTTGATACAGCAGTTAATAAAAACACAGGTGACTGAGTGCCCAGTGTATATCTCTACGAGGTGACCTCCTAACCTTCCAGAGAGGACTGAGTGCAGGGGTGATCTGCAGGGACTAGAGGGAGGTGGCCTGGGTTGGGAGTATGGGGTAGACAGGAAGAAGTTTCCCTGAGTTTAGAAGCAATAACTAAAGGAGGGAGGCTTACAAAGCCTACGTTTATGGCTCAGAGTATGTATCTCCCTTTGCATTAAGGTCAGATTATTTGAAGCACTGTTTTCCAAGTAGCAGATTGTAACCCAACAATGGGTCACAAAAATCAATACAACTACAACAAAAAAAATCAATAAAACAATGTTTTATATCTTGCCAGTGGCCAAATCTCAGGAAGCATAAAATTTAGATGTGTGCATTCATGTTATTAGGTACCCTCTGATATAAGGGATGAGGTGGGCACTTCCTTCTGTGGAATTCCTCCCAAATCCATAACCCCAAACTAATCATGAGAAAAACAGCAGACAGTGGGCAGTACCTGTGGCTCAGTGAGTAGGGCGGATTCAAACCTGGCCCCTGCCAAATTGCAACAACAACAAAAATAGCTGGGAGTTGTCGGGCGCCTGTGGTCCCAGCTACTTGGGAGGCTGAGGCAAGAGGATCATCTACGCCCAAGAGCTGGAGTTGTTTTGAGTATAATATGGCACCCTGTTACCAAGGGTGACAAGGTGAGTCTTTGTGTCTAAAAAAAAAAAAACCAGCAGACAGGCTCAGCGCCCGTTGTACAGTGGTTACAGCACCAGCCACATGCACTGAGGCTGGCAGGTTCGAGCACAGCCCAAGCCAGCTAAACAACAATGACAACAGCAACAAGAAAATAGCCTAGCATTGTGGTGGGCACCTGTAGTCCCAGCTACCTGGGAGGCTGAGGCAAGAGAATCATTTAAGCCCAAGAGGTTGAGGTTGCTGTTAGCTGAGACACCACCTCACTCTACCGAGGTTGACATAGTAAGACTGTCTTAAAAAAAAAAAAAATCCTCTATAGTTCAGTAGAACTTTAAATATCACCAATGCTTGGCAAGGGAGAGCCAGGTAAACAGCAGGGTAAAGGGAAAGCTTCAGGGCAGTAGCAGAAATAGACTGTAATGGTGGCATCTAAAGGTGAAAGGAATCCCTTCAGGGAAGGCCTTGAACAAGAGATTGAAAGCTTTCAGCGGGGAGCAGATCAAGGTGCAACTGTTTTCAGTTGACCTGAATCTGGGTTCATCTGACACTTCTACCATGCACCTAAGTTTAACTCCAGTGACATCAAGGTTGTGTATGAGGTGCACAGATGGCCTGGCCCCCAAGATTGAACACTGAAGCTCACTCACAGCTCTGCATTTAGAGCAAATTCCATCAAGACAGCCACTGTATTTCCAGGGCCACTGAGCTCCAAAGTCACTCCAGGCCAGGCAGGTAGGACCAGACAGGAGGACTCTGGGCTTGAACCTGAGCATTTTCACAGAGCACCCTCCTGCTGGCCCCTCACCCCCTCACCTCCTGACTGCAGCTTGGAGCCATCACGTAGGGGCAGCCTTCTCTGGGAGCATTATCGCCACAGCCAGCACAATCCTAACTATGACAAGAGGCAGACTTCTTACTTGCCACTGCCCTTTTGACATCTAATAAAGCCTATGGGCTCAGAGCCTGTAGCTCAAGCGGCTAAGGCGCCAGTCACATACACCAGAGCTGGTGGGTTCGAATTCAGCCCAGGCCTGCCAAACAACAATGACAACTACAACCAAAAAATGGCCGGGCGTTGTGGTGGGCGCTTGTAGTCCCAGCTGCTTGGGAGGCTGAGGCAAGAGAATCACCTCAGTTGGAGGTTGATGTGAGCTGTGACGCCATGGCACTCTACCCAGGGCGACAGCTTGAGGCTCAATCTCAAAAATAAATAAATAAATAAAGCCTATGGACCCCTTCTCAGAATAATACTTACTTAAATACAAAAATAAATTATATGGGAAAAAATTTAATCAAATACATAGGCTTACAATGGTGTATTAGTTTCCTAGTGCTGCTGTAACAAGCTACCCTAAACTTAATTAAACAGCACAAATTTATTCTCTTACAGTATGGGAGGACAAAAGCCTAAAATGTGTTGGCAGGGTTGCGTTTCTTCTGGAAGTTCTAGGAACAAATCCATTTGCCAGCCTTCTAGAGCAGGGGTCCTCAAACTTTTTAAACAGGGGGCCAGTTCACTGTCCCTCAGACCATTGGAGGGCTGCTGGACTGCAGGCCCCGGGACGAGTTGGCTGCTAAACAGGACAGGCAGTGATGGCAAAAACACCCGGTGGGCCAGATAAATGTCCTAGGTGGGCTGCATGTGGCCCACGGGTTGTAGTTTGAGGACGCCTGTTCTAGAGGCTCAGGGCCAGCATGACTCCAACCTCCACTTCCTCTATCTCTCTTCCTTCTCTGTCCCTCCTGTCTCCCTTTGTCCCCTAAAAGGACTCCGTGTGAATAATCCAGGGTAATCTCCCCACCTCAAGGTCTTAACTTAATCACACCTGCCAAATGCCTTTTGGTCCTAGGGATTAGGAGATAGACATCTTCAGTGGGGCCATTATTCTATTTACCATAAAAGGAAACCAATTATATTAAAATAGAGTTATCAAAACATTAAAAAGCAAGTTTTCAATCTAGTAACATTATGTGCTTCCATATTGATCCATTAAACAAAAAGATCTAGTGACAGGTCTAATGACTGCCATTATTTCAAAGTATTTTGTTAATGAGATAACTGCAAAGACTTTAATATGATATAAAAATAACCACACTTCCTATTGGTTACAAAGTTACAGTTACTAATGCTACCTATATTCATCATCATTAAAAGAAATGCTAAATTTTCAGGTAGAAGTTAGTGAAAATAAACATGCACTTTTTTCTGATCCAAGTTCATAGGTGCCCTGAATTTTCTCCAAGAACCCTGGTGGGAACTCCTAGCTGATGGCATTTGGCCCGGAAATGTTTGCGTTTTCCTAAGGGCCACAGACACCTTAAAAGGGGAAACACAGGGGAAGGGATTCCAGGGATTCACTAGGGCCCACCTCCCTCAAACCACAGTGCACACCAGTGGAAAGGGGGGCATGTGCCCACATGTACTGGGCACCAAGCCAGGCACTGTACACAGCACTGCCCTTGTCCCCCCACAGTTCCTAGGGCAGGTACCAGCATCCCCATTTCCAAATGGGAAAACTGAGGTTCAGGGCGATAAAGTAACTCGGCCAAAGTCCCAAGGTTGGTAAATGGAGCTTCGGTCCTTCCTCCCCACCACAATGACCACAAGGGAGGCAGGGCCCAGAAGGAAGGGAGAGGAGCCCCCACCTCCCTCTCACTTAATCTTCCCAACTACCTTCTCAGGACATCACTTTGATTCCTCTCTTGCAAATAAGGGGGCCGGCCAGAGGGCTGGGGACTGTCCCAACATAGCTGTGTAGTAAGTGATCAGGGACAGGTGGGTGGGAGGCCAAAAAGGACACGTAAAAAGCAGGGGCAGAGGTGGGGCAGACTGTGCACCTGAAGCTGGGGGAGCAGAGGGGTAGGGCCGGGGTGGGGGGCTGCCCTGCCCCTGAGGCCTTACCTTGTTCTCACAATGGATCTTGGCCCCGGAACTGACCAGAATCTGGAGGATCCGCAAGTGGCCAAACCAGGCAGACAAGAGAAGCGCATTCATCCCAAACTAGGGGAGAGGACACAGAGGAGTGAGAGAATGCGAGGAGGCGTGGCTGTGCCACCTGGGCCCTGAGTCCCATGGCAAAACCATATGACTGGAAGGGACCATAAATGCCACTCAGTTGCAGGAGCACCAAGCTTTAGGAATTTTTTTTTTTTTTTTGAGACAAAGTCTCACTATGTTACCCTCGGTAGAGTGCCACAGCATCACAGCTCACAGCAACCTCAAACTCTTAAGCTTAAACTAGTCTCTTGCTTCAGCCTCCCAAGTAGCTGGGACTACAGGCACCTGCCACAACGCTTGGCTATTTTTCTTGTTGCAGTTGTCCTTGTTGTTTTAGCTGGCCCAGGCTGGGTTCAAACCTGCCACCCTCAGTATATGGGGCCGGCACCCTACCCACTGAGCAACAGGCACTGCCCCCAAGCTTTAGGAATTTAAAGACTAGAAATTTTTTAAAATAGAAGCTAATATACTATTGCAAACTTTTTTTTTTTGGCTAAATGAAATTTTAAAATAAAACAGCTGGCATTTACTTTCATCATTATTTCATAAAGAAAGGCCATTTTGGCTCGGCGCCTATAGCTCAACCAGCTAAGGCGCCAGCCACGTACACCTAAGGTGGCGGGTTCGAATCCCCAGCCTGGACCCGCCAAACAACAATGACGGCTGCAACCAAAAAATAGCCGGGTGTTGTGGCGGGCGCCTGTAGTCCCAGCTACTTGGGAGGCGGAGGCAGGAGACTCACTTGAGCCCAGGAGTTGGAGGTTGCTGTGAGCTGTAATGCCACGGCACTCTACCCAGGGGGACAGCTTGAGGCTCTGTCTCAAAAAAAAAAAAAAAAAAAAGGCCATTTTATTATGTATGTATTTATTTATTTATTTAAGACAGAGTCTCATTCTGTCATCCTGAGTAGTGTGCCATGGCCTCATAGTTCACAGCAACCTCAAACACTTGGACTCAAGCAATCCTCTTGCTTCAGCCTCTCAAATGACTGGAACTACAAGCACCCAGCTAATTTTTCTACTTTTATTTTATTTTATTTTTGAGACAGAGTCTCATTATGTCACCCTAGTAGAGTGCTGTGGCATCAAGGCTCACAGCAACCTCAAACTCTTGGGCTGAAGCGATTCTCTTGCCTCAACCTTCCAAGTAGCTGGGACTACAGGTGCTCACCACAATGCCCGGCTGTTTGTTGTTGTTGTTGTCTTTGTTGTTTAGCAGGCCCGGTCTAGGTTCAAACCTGCCAACCCCAGTGTATGTGGCCAGTGCCCTAAACACTGAGCTGTGGGCGCTGAGCCAATTTTTCTATTTTTAGTAGACACAGGGTTTTGCTCTTACTAAGGCTGATCTCCATTCCTAAGCTCAAAAGATCCTCCCACCTTGGCCTCCCAGAGTGCTTGGATTATAGGCACGACCTGCCTCATCAAGCCCCCAAGAAAGGCCACTCTAAAACAAAAAAATTTGGAAGGAACCAATCTCAGAATATATGTATTCCTTACAAATAGAACTTCATGAATGACACCCTACATTGTTTTTGTTTTCCTTCTTTCTTTTTTGAGACAGGGTCTTAACTGTCACCCAGGCTAGAGTACAGTGGCATCATCATAGCTCACTGCAACCTCGAAGTCCTCAGACCAAGTGATGTTCCTCCCTCAGCCACCATGCCTCGCTAATTGTTTTTTTTGTTTTTAGACAGAGTCTCACTATGTCACCCTTAGTAGAGTGCTATAGCATCACAGCTCACAGCAACCTCAAACTCTTGGGCTTAAGTCATTCTCTTGCCTCAGCCTCCCACATAGCTGGGACTACAGGCACCAGCCACAGTGCCCAGTTTTAGTTTGTTTTTTTTTTTTTGCAGTTTTTGGCCAGGGCTGGGTTTGAACCCGCCAGCTCCGGCATAGGGGCCAGAGCCCTACTCCTCTGAGCCACAGGTGCCGCCCCCAGTTATTTTTTTGTTGCAGTTGTCATTGTTGTTTAGCTGGTCCGGGCCAGGTTCAAACCCACCAGCCTCAGTACATGTGGCCCATGCCATAACCACTGTGCTAAGGGCGCTGAAACATGCCTGGCTAATTTTTCTATTTTTTGTAGAGATGGGGTATTACTCTGGCTCAGGCTGGTCTCGAACTACCAGCCTCAAGTGATCCTCCCACCTTGGCCTCCCAAAGCACTGGAATAACAGGTTTGAGCCACTTGATTTGCTATAAATGGTGAGGACCTATCCTGGCCTGGCATTTGAGAATTGACTGTTTAAATGTCTTCAAGGCAGACAGCTTACATCTACAGCACCTTCTTACTATCTATTGAAATCCACACCCCTATAATTTCCATCCCATGGTCCTCTGAAACAACTGAAAATATGTCTTGGGCCTCTTCTGATGGCAGCCTTGCACCTGCTCTCAGACATCTGCACAGTGCTCTGGGGTCACTAGAGCCCCCTTCACCGATCTCAGCTGTGGTGGGGTGCTGTGTGTGAGTGGCCCCTGCTCCCACCTCCCTTGAGTCTTTTCTTCCCTGTGAAGAGCACCCCCAGGCCTCCAAAGTCATGCCCTGGACACATGGAGAGCATGCAGGCATCTTTTATCTGGTAAGAGCCCTCCTGGGGATGTTTTTCACTGTCCCCCCTGGGTGTAGCTCCGTAAGAAGTCTTTGTGAGGAATACCAGGAAAGGTGTCTTAGAGGCTGGCACCAAAACTCCTCATAGGTAGGAAACTGAGTGTGGGTGAAAGGTGAAACCCCAGGGGAACTGACTGGGCAGCAGACTCTGAGCACCCAGAGTTTCACTGCTCTGCTCTAGCTAGAGGCAGAGATTTGGTGGCAGGGAGGAGTGTGGTGTTGGCAAGGATGGCATGGCGTGAGGAGGGGAAGCAGAGGCTGGGGCCACGATAAGGAAAGGGTAAGGGACTTTATAGAACAGAAAGTCAAAGAGAAAATGTCATGATTTTTATGTTGTTTGTGTGTGTGATGTAAGTCCTCTTTCCTTCTCATTTTAGAAAGCCATCCCGCACCACAAGCCTTGTATGAATGGAGTCTCTGGAAACTGCAGAGAAGTACCACAGTGAGGGTTGACACCAGGGTGAAGATAAAGAACTATCTGCAGAATTTCAAGAGGACAAAAGTTGAAAAAAAGCTGAAAGGAAGAACCAACAGTGACCATAAGAATTTAAGTTCTTCCTCTAGAAATCTTGGAGAAGGTGCTGGAATGGAGCCTCAAATGGGGTCTGGAAGTAGCCTCAGCTGGAGCCAAAGAGGCCAGGAGACACGGCACTGGCCAGAGCTCAGCCCCTGGTAGACTATCGAGAACTGTGGGTTAACAGTTCTCCTGTGATCTTGGCTACACAAGGAAGGAAATGATGGGCATGGACAGTGTCCAGAGGGAATAGTCCACAGGAGTGTGGGAACAACAAGGGTGAAGGCTCAGGACTGGGGGAGGGAAAGTTTGGGGGGCCAGAGCCCAGGGATACTTCACAGTCTCCCCCAGCCCCACATCACTAGAGACCGTCCAACAACATGGCTCCCTACCCACCTGTTACTAAAGTAGGCAAGCCCCAGGCTATCCTACTTTTCAAAACTTATTTATTGTTGTTTGAAAAAAAATACAGAGAGAATTGTTTCTTTTACACTTCAACTTAGAACTGAAACCAGACAAGAATGTCCACTATCACCACTGCTCTTCAACATAGCGCTGGAAGTTCTAACCAATGCAATCAGGCAAGAGAAGGATATCAAGGGTATTCAAATGGCAACAGAGGAGGTCAAAGTCTCTTTGCTGATGATAAAATCTTATACTTATGAAACCCCACAGACTCAACCTCAAGGCTCCTGAAAGTGATCAAGGAATACAGTTATGTCTCAGGATACAAAAATCAATGTCCACAAATCAGCAGCCTTCAATATTCCAATAACAGATAAGCTGAGAGTCAAATCAAAGACACAATACCCTTCACAGTAGCTTCAAAGGAAATGAAATACCTGGGAATATGCCTAACAAAGGACATGAAGGATCTTTACAGAGAGAACTAAGAAACCCTAAGGAAAAAAATAGCAGAAGATGTTAACATACCTGGGAAGAATCAACATTGTTAAAATGTCCATACTACCCAAAGTGATCTACAAATTTTTTTTTTTTTTTTTTTGCAGTTTTTGGTCGGTGCTGGGTTTGAACCCGCCACCTCTGGCATTTGGGGCCAGTGCCCTACTCCTTTGAGCCACAGGCACCACCTGATCTACAGATTTAATGCAATCCTCATCAAAGTACCAACATCAAACTTTGAAGAACTTTGAAAAAATAGTACTTCATTTTATACGGAACCAGAAAGAAAATCCAAATAGCCAATGCAATTCTAAGAAATAAAAACAAATCTGGGGTGGCACCTGTGGCTCAGTAAGTAGGGTGCTGGCCCCATATACCAAGGGTGGCAGGTTCAAACCTAGCCCCAGCCAAACTGCAATAACAACAAAAAAATAGCCAGGCATTGTGGCAGGCACTTGTAGTCCCAGCTACTAGGGAGGCTGAGGCAAAAGAATCACCTAAGCCTAAGAGCTGGAGGTTGCTGTGAGCTATGACGCCACAGTTCTCTACTGAGGGCAACAAAGTGAGATTATCTCTAAAAAAAAAAAAAAAAAAAAGAATCTGAAGGCCTCATATTAAAACTTCAGATTATACTAAATATCTACAGTGATCAAAACAGCATGGTACTGCACAAAAGTAGAGATATAGATCTATGGAATAGAATAGAGAATCTAGAGATGAACCCAGACACATATCACCATCTGATCTTTGATAAAACAAACCAAAAAAGCATACCCTGGAGGGAAAAAATCCCTATTTAATAAACAGTGCTGGGAGAACAGGTTAGCCACATGTAGAAGACTGAAACTGGACCTACATCTCTCACCATTAACAAAAATTGACTCTAGCCAAATAAGAGACTTAATTTTAAGACATGAAAAAAATAAAAATTCTAGTAGAAAATGTGGGGAAAACCCTTAACAACAGGGCAGTGCCTGTGGCTCAGTGGGTAGGGTGCAGTGGGTAGGGCACCAGTCCCATATACCGACAAGGGTGGTGGGTTCAAACCCAGCCCCGGCCAAATTGCAGCAAAAAGAAAAATAGTCAGGTGTTGTGGCGAGCGCCTGTAGTCCCAGCTACTCGGGAGGCTGAGGCAAGAGAATCGCCTAAGCCCAGGAGCTGAGCTGGAGGCTGCTGTGAGCTATGATATTACGGCACTCTACCAAGGGTGATAAAGTGAGAGACTCTGTCTCTACCAGAAAAAAACCTCTTAACAACATTGGCCCGGGGAACAGATTTATTTTTTTCTTTTTAATTTTGGCAACAGTCTCAAGCTGTCACCCTGGGTAGAGTTCCATGTCGTCATAGCTCACAGCAACCTCCAATTCTTGGGCTCAAGTGATCCTCTTGCCTCAGTTTTTCTATTTTTAGTAGAGACAGGGGTCTCAATTTTGCTCAGGCTGGTCTCGAACCCATGAGCTCAAGCTATCCATCCTCCTTGGCCTCCCAGAGTGCTAGGAATACTGGCCTGGGAAAAGATTTTGAGAGAAGATCCTCTTAGTAATTTCAGCAACACCAAAAATAAATGAATAGAACATAATCAAACTGAAAAGCTTCTGTACAGCTAAGGGTACCACAACTAAACCATACCAACAACTTCAGTATGGGAGAAGATATTTGCATGCTATGAATTTGACAAAGGCCTGATTACTAGAATCTATAGAGAATTCAAACTAATCAACAAGAGCAAACAACCCCATTTATAAGTGGGCAAGAGACATTAACAGAACCTTCTCTGAAGAAGACAGATGAATGGACAACAAACATGAAAAAATGTTCATTGTGTTGGCTCATGCCTGTGATCCTAGCTGTAGGAGACCAAGCTGGGTGGACCGCTTGAGCTCAGGAGTTCAAGACCAGCCTGGGCAAGAGAGAACCCTCTCTACTAAAATAGAAAAATTAGCTAGGTGTAGTGGAGGGCATCTGTAGTCCCAGCTACTTGGGAGGCTGAGGCAAGAGGATTACTCAAGGGTGGCGCCTGTGGTTCAGTGAGTAGGGCACTGGCCCCATATACCAAGGGTGGCAGGTTCAAACCCGGCCCCCGCCAAATTGCGACAAAAAAATAGCTGGGTGTTGTGGTAGGTGCCTGTAGTCACAGCTACTCAGGGGGCTGAGACAAGAGAGTGGCCTAAGCCCAGGAGCTGGAGGTTGCTGTGAGCTGTGATGCCACAGTACCCTACCCAGGGCAACAAAGTGAGATTCTGTTTCTTAAAAAAAAAAAAAAAAAAGAGGATTGCTCAAGTCCAAGAGATTGAGGTTGCTTTGAGCTATGATGCCATAGCACTCTGCCCAGGGTGACAGAGTGAGACTCTATCTCAAAAAAAAAAAAAAAAGCTCATCATCCCTAATCATCAGAGAAATTCAAATCAAAACCACCCTGAAGGCTCCCCGCCTGTGGCTCAAGTGGCTAAGGTGCCAGCCACATACACCAGAGCTGGTGGGTTCGAATCCAGCCCAGGCCCACCAAACAACAATGACGGCTGCAACCAAAAAATAGCCAAGCATTGTGGCAGGTGTTGGAGATTGCTGTAAGGTGTAATGCTATGGCATTCTACCTAGGGTGACAGCTTAAGGCTCTATCTCAAAAAACAAAACAAAACAAAACAAAACACACCCTGAAATATCGCCTAACCCCAGTAAGAAAAGCCCACATCACAAAGTTCCAAAGCTACAGATACTGGCATGGATATGAAAAGAAAGGAACACTTTGACACTGCTGGTGGGATTGCGAACTAATACAGCCTCTTTGGAAAGAAATATGGAGCATCCTCAAAGAGCTAAAACGAGAGCTTCCATTTGATCCCACAATCCTATTGGTAGGTATCTACCCAGAAAAAAAGAAATAATTCTACCATAAGGACATTTGCACTAGAATGTTTATTGCAGTTCAATTCACAATCACCAAATGCCCATCATCTCACAAATGGATTAACAAACTGTGGTATATGTATGCCGTGGAATACTTATTCAGCTATGAAAAAAGATAGAGACTTTAGGCTCAGCTCCCATAGCTCAACCAACCACAGGCACCGGGGCTGGTGGGTTGGAACCCAGCCTGTGCCTGCTAAACAACAAGGACAACAATAACAACAATAACAAAAAATAGCTGGGCGATGTGACAGGAGCCTGTAGTCCCAGGTACTTGGGAGGCTGAGGCAAGAGAATCACTTAAGCCCAAGAGTTTGAGCTTTTTGCTGTGAGCTGTGACGTAACAGCACTCTACAAAGAGCAACAGCTTGAGGCTCTGTCTCAAAAAGGGGAAAAAAAGAAGTAAGAACAAAGCAAACTACTCACGGACAACTAAGTCTCTGCAGAAAAGTTCATAGTTTTTGTTTTTGTTTTTGTTTTTTTTAATTTAAATTTAGATCCAGGAAGGGCATGTGGTTCACACCTATAATTCTAGTACTCTGGGAGGCAGAAGTGGGAGAACCACTGCCACTGGTATCTGTGGACAAAGAGTAGGAGTTGGAAACCAACCTGAGCAAGAGTAAGACACCATGGCGCTGTAGGCTGGGTAACAGAGTGAGAGTCTTCTCTCAAAATATAAATAATAATATAAATAAATTATTTAAATAATAAAAATATAAATAATATAAATAATAAATAAGTCTTCTCTCAAAATATAAATAAATAATTTTGAGAGTCTTCTCTCAAAATAAATAAATAAATATAAAAAATAAGTAATCCTAGCACTCTGGGAGGCCGAGACGGGTAGATTGCTTGAGGTCAGGAGTTCAAGACTAGCCTGAGCCAGAGTGAGACCCCAACTCTGAAAAAAAAAAAAAAGGCCAGACATTATGGTGGGTTCCTGCAATCCCAGCTATATGGGAGTCTGAGGCAAGGGGATCACTTGAGCCTAAGAGTTTGAGGCTGCTGTGAGCTATGATGCCACAGCCCTAGATGGACCGTAACAAAGTGAGACTCCATTACAAAAATTATAAATTAGTAATAAATTAAAAGAAATTGAGATCCTTAAGTATATCCCTCTATCAAATGTCATTGTCAGATTCATCCCTTTTCCCAAGCCTGTAGAGATAATTTTGTGGATTCTCCAGTGTTCTTGCTCAACAACCGCTGCCTGTCAGTTTGTTAAGACAGTCTTGGGCAGTGCTCGTAGCTCAGTGGGCAGGGTGCTGGCCACATACGCTGAGGCTAGCAGGGTCGAACCCAGCCCGGGCCAGCCAAGCAACAATGACAACTGCAACAAAAAAAATATCCGGGTGTTGTTGCGGGTGCCTGTAGTCCCAGATACTAGGGAGGCTGAGGCAAGAAAATCACTTAAGCCCAAGAGTTTGAGGTTGCTGTGAGCTGTGATGTCACAGCTCTCTACCTCTGTCTCAAAAAAAAAAAAAAAAAAAAGACTGTTAGTCTTAGTCTTTGGTTACAGTGTTAGCCAGGGCAGAGCCCTGCAGCATATCATGAGAGACTTTCCTTCTGGTGACTGTTAATCAGGCCTTTATCAATCCCCCTGATTATCCTTTCCACAGCCCACATGGTATCACGAGGACCTAAAAAGGCTCTTTGAGGAACTGAAAGGCCCTTGAAAGTGGAGAGCTCTTTAATCACAGCACGAGAGAAAAGTGGATCAGTGTCGCTTCTCTGAGGGCTGTGATTTCCTGCCTACTCTGCACCTGAGCAGCTCTGTGCCAGCAGCAATCTCAGCAGCTGGCTCTTAGACCCAGACAGACACAACCCACAGATGCGCCTTGGTGAGGGCTGCGTACCATATCCTCTTCATCCACAGCAGCCTCGTGGTCCAGGAGCAGCCGCACTGCCTGCTCGTGCCCTGCGCCCGCAGCCCAGTGCAGGGCCACCCTGCCTACCTGCTGGGAGAGAGAGGACACCTGTCAGGCGCCGCTGCCTCTTGGCTGCCTGGCTCACTATCCACCCCACTCCCTGCCAGGACAGCTGGTTTGCAGGCGGGAAGGGCCTTTGCTGGCTCTGGTGACCAGCTGGCTCAGGACTCAGCCCCACTCTGGCCCCCTGGTGCTCCCCAAGACAGCAGCAGCCCCAAAACAAATGCAGTGAAACAGAGTGACTGGATCCATCTGTCTCTCACCTCAAACTCTTTCACAGCTTCCCATGGTTCTTGGGACAAACTCCTAATTCAGGGCTTCTGAGGCTCTGCATGGCCTGACACTGCCCACCACTCTTCTCAGAAATACGAAGCAGCTCCCCACTTCCAAGCCTTTGTTCCTGCTGGTCCCTGCTAGCCAGCAACATATGACCTAGGATTGATTACTGTCTAGTCCCTGAAAGGCACCTGAGTACCTGGTTTCTCTCAGAGCAGATGAAGGGACCTGACTCATCCTTGGAGAAACCTGACAGCTCCTCCTGGCCTCTGGCCCATGATCCCACTTCTTCCCTTCATGATTTTCAGCTGAAAGGGGACAATGAAAGGAAACACCAATTTGCTCATTTGCTCTGTGGCCTCAGGCAAACCACATCCCCTTTCTGGAGACCAGCTCTTCCTTCCTTCCTCAGGACTGGTGCCCATGCTCTTCCCTCTGCCTGGTCACTGCCCTTCTTCACCTGGCTCCTCGAAAATGCTGCCTCCTGTCTGACCCTCTCCATAGCTCTTAGGACAACCTATGACAGGGGGAATGAACTGTTTGTGAGAAGCTCTGCTTACTATCTGTCCTCCTCTTCCACCCATCTGCCAGCCTCTGGCTGATGACCTCTGGCCCCTGCCCTCTGGCTCTCACCTCTGGTCCTTGGGTGTACCTTTCAGATGGGTCACAGAGCTTAAGAGTGTGACCTCCAGAATTGCACAAGCCTGGCTTGGAATCCTGATCTTGATCTTGGGTGATACCCCAGCCACTCTAAGGGTCAGAGCCCTCCAAACAATGCAGACAAAGAGGACAGAGGCTAGGCCTCCCTCCAAGTTGACACACACAAACGTGTCTGTCACCAGCTCAATGCAGTGTCCCCTCTGTGTAGTGACATTACCATGGCACTATCCCAGGTGCCCCGATTTGGAGGAGCCCATTACTCACGTTGCTTCTGGCCCTGATGTTAACCCTCCTCCCGATCAGCTCTTGCATCTTCCCAATGTTGTTCCGGCGGGCAGCCTCATGGAGCTGCCTCTCCAGAGGGAGCACTGGGGGGAGGAAACGAGTGCGGATGAGAAGGGGGTGTCCACACTGTATCATAGAGCACTGCAGAGGGGAGAGGTGAACAGCCCTTCTCTGCCCCTCCACACTTCCCTGGCCAGGGGTCTTCCACCTAGGAATGTGGGGCTGGGGGCATGGCTCTCCTCCTGCTCAAGGTCAGGGGCCTCCCTAGCCCAGCTGGGCTTCCTTGCTAACTGACCCCACATCCACATGGTCAGGATGTGGCGAAACCCTGAGGATAGGAGAGCACAGGCGAGACCATCCACGGCAGCCCTGGTGTGTGCCCCTCAGGCCCCCATCATCCAGTTTTCATGTGCCTGATCTTGGAGAAGGGAATGGGATTCGTTCCCAGTGGAGTTAGCAACTACCTCCTCCACAGCTCTGTTCGGGACTCACCGAGCCACCAACTCTGTACCAGGCCCAGGTAAGGCCAGAGGCATGTTTACTCCACTTGTGCACCTTCCATCTCCTTGTTGCTCCTCCTCTTCCCCCTCCTCTCTGTATCCTAAGCAGCTTTCACCTCCCCACTCTGAGGACCGCCCCAACTTGCCTTATCTGTGCTCCTCTCACCCCATTGCTGCATCTTTATCTCAGAGAGTCTCAGACCAAAGGGAGCCTCAGAGCTCCTCTGCCAACCCCGGTCACAGGCAGCTGTGGGCTTAGGATCTCCCTGCAGTTAGCGTATGAGCCAGGAGGACCCAGGCCTGGGGGGACATGGTCTAAGTGTTACCAGCCACTGTTAACCTGCACAGCCAGTTCACACAGGGCACTGCTGGTCAGGCTCTAACGAGGCCGAATGAGTCTATGCACCGACATCTGGAGGTTGTTTACTCACTTCTAAGGCCTACTGTCATAGATAAGTAGGGGAACTGGACTCCATGGTCAAGGAGCCAGGGCACTCTGTGCACCCAGTGAAGTGTTGATCAACGATAATTTTAGTCTAGAGTAAAAGTGCCTTTAAGATATAAAGCCAGGGCTCAGCGCCTATAGCACAGTGGTTATGGCGCCAGCCACATACACTGAGGCTGGCAGGTCAGCCAGACCAAGCCAGCTAAACAATAATGACAACTACAACAAAAAAATAGCCGGACATTGTGGAGGGCACTTGTAGTCCCGGCTACTTGGGGGGCTGAGGCAAGAGAATCGCTTAAGCCCAGGAGTTTGAGATTGCTGTGAGCTTGACACCATAGCACTCTACCGAGGGGGGACAAAGTGAAACTCTGTCTCAAAAAAAAAAAAAAGATATGAAGCCAGGTGTGGTGGCTCATATCTGTAATCCTAGCACTTTGGGAGGCTGAGGTGAGTAGACTGCTGAGCTCAGAAGTTGGAGACCAGCCTGAACAAGAGTGAGACCATGTCTACTAAAAATAGAAAATCTAGCCAGGCATTCTGGTAGGCGCCTGTAGTCCCAGCTCTGAGGCAAGAGGATGGCTGAGCCCAGGAGTTTGAGGTTACTATGAGCTATGATGGCACTCTACCCAGGGCAAGAGAGTGAGACTCTTGTCTCAAAAAAAAAAAAAAAAAAAAATGCTTTGAAGATAGGACCACTTTAAGATAGGGAGATATTGTGTAAGTCTGTAACCTATGAGGAAGAATCTGTTTAAAGTATACTGTGATGAGTAATGACATTGCTAATGTTTACTTTACTGTGAGAATAAAAAGTAACAAAGGGAAACAAGAGGGCAGAACAGTTCTTTGGGAAAGTATCCCTGCCGCTTTCCGGAATTGCTGTCTTTTCTGTAAATAAAAGTGAAACTGGGCTCGGCGCCTGTGGCTCAACCGGCTGAGGCGCCAGCCACGTACACCTAAGGTGGCAGGTTCGAATCCCCAGCCAGACCCGCCAAACAACAATGACGGCTGCAACCAAAAAATAGCCGGGCGTTGTGGCGGGCGCCTGTGGTCCCAGCTACTTGGGAGGCGGAGGCAGGAGACTCGCTTGAGCCCAGGAGTTGGAGGTTGCTGTGAGCTGTAATGTCACGGCACTCTACCCAGGGGGACAGCTTGAGGCTCTGTCTCAAAAAAAAAAAAAAGTGAAACTGTTGATCTCTCATCTGCTTCTCTGCTGACTGGCTTGGCTGACCGGCAGACAGACTCTTTGGTCCAACAACATAAGGCTCAACCCACCAGACCCGGGAGCTGCCACCACCCTGACTGCTCTTGACTATGAGCATGTCTGATTTCCTTTGCTAACTACAAGCTTCTTCAGGGCCGTGGCCACACCTGACCCTTCCTGATCTACCCACAGATCACAGCAGGCCCCAGGCTGGACTCAAGGAGGAATCCACAAACCTCTGCTTGTATGAGTAACACGAATATCCCCAGATTAAGGGCTCAGACATACTACCACAGAGGACAAGTATTTCCTGGCCTTTTACATAGCCAGCACAGGGCAAGTAATCTTACAGCTCAAGTGCTGCCAAAGCCACATCCTGCATGTTTGATCCAGTGTGAATGTCTGGACCCAATCCCTTTGTACATCCAGGGACAGGTGGCCCACGTCTTAGCAGGGAAGTCTGGGATGCATTGAGGTAACAGATAGGCTGGCCATGCAGTTTGTTTTTCTAGATAGAGTCCAGATGTGGAAGAGGGTATTAGGATTTGGGGGACCTCAGATCTGCTGCCCTCGGGCAATCACATGGTCCTGGGTTCAACTCTGGCTGAACTACTTCCTGGCTTTCCCCTTGCCACTTAGATTACCCAATTATCCTGGGCCTCTATTTTCTCATCTACAAAATAGGGATGAGCGCTGCCCCTCAGTGCTATTATACTTATTAGAAATAATATAGGAGAAGCCCCCAGCGCAGTGTCTGGCACATAGTACCCACACCACCATCACTATCATCATCAACACTATTATTCCTCCAAGGCAAAATGTCAAAGAATAAATTCTGGAGACCAAAAACCTGGAGATAGTGGGACCTCCTTCCTTTGGGTTAGGGTCCCCTGAGCCAGTGAAGCCCCAGCCATGGAAAACACACTTCTGGGTGGTGCCCATAACTCAGTTGGTAGGACGCCAGCCACATACACTGAGTCTAGCCGGTTCGAACCCAGCCTGGATCAGCTAAAACAACAATGACAACTGCAACAAAAAAAAATAGCCAGGCGTTGTAGCAGGCACCTGTAGTCCCAGCTATTTGGGAGGTCTGAGGTAAGAGAATCACTCAAGCCCAAGAGTTGGAGGTTGCTGTGAGCTGTGATGCCACGGCACTCTACCAAGGGTGACATAATGAAACTGTCTCAAAAATAAAGAAAGAAAGAAAGAAAAAACACACTTCCTTCCTACCTCCCTGTGTTGTTTTTTTCTATATACTATGGTATTTGCTATATTTACCTATTTATTAGGTTTCTTGTCCACTTATCCCAATGTAAGCCCATAGGGCAGGGGATTTTTGTTTGATTTGCTAACTGTTATATATCCAAATTCAGGCCCCGGTACATATTTGTTGAATGCATGAGTAATAAATGGCTCATGAAATCTCTTCAGAGGGCTGTGGACTCTAAGATCCTGCCCAAATGAAGATTCATTGGGGCCCCAGAAAATCAAAATATAAGCTCAGGTAAATGGCAGGAAAGAGGCTCCAAGAGGTAAGCAGCTTCATGTCAGTACTTTAGAGGAAGAGGGTACTCGGGGGAAAGACCACCTTCTGAGTGTGGTCCCTAACCACAGCCCACCCCCACCCTGCAGGTGAAGAGGAGGCCCTTCTCAAGAGAACAGGCTTTTTTTTTTTTTTAAGACAGAGTCTTACTCTGTTGTCCTGGGTAGAGTGCTGATGTGTCATAGCTCACAGAAACCTCAAACTCCTGGATTCAAGTGATGCTCTTGCATCCCCAATAGCTGGGAGTAACAGTGCCCCCACACAATGCCCACCTAGTTTTTCTATTTTTAGAAAATGGGTAGGCTGGGAACGGTGCCTCAAGCTTGTAATATTAGCACTCTGGGTGCTTGTGCTTGTGGGTGGACTGCCTGAACTCATGAGTTCAAGACCCACCTGAGCCAGAGTGAGACTTCATCTCTAAAAATAGCCAGGGATTATAGCAGGCACCTATAATCCCAGCTACTCAGGAGGCTGAAGTAAGAGAATCACTTGAGCCCAAGAGTTTGAGGTTGCTGTGAGCTGTGATGCCATGGCTCTCTGCCCAGAGGGACAAAGTAAGACACTGTCTCAAAAAAAAGAGAGAGAGAAAGAAAATGGGGTCTCACTCTTGCTCAGACTGGTCTCAAACTACCAAGCTCAAGCAATCCAACCACCTCAGCCTCCGAAAGTGCTAGGATTACAGGCAAGAGCCACCCAACCCAGCTTAAGATAACAGGCTTTAGAAGAGCCCCTCTCAGATCCAAAGCATCTTGGACGAGCTGTGTCTCAAGCTTTTCTTTCCTTAACCTCATGATGCAGGTTAGGAAAGAGCTGCCAGTTAGGTGTGATTTTACAGAGGCTAGGGTTCTAGTACCCGGTCTTCCGCCTTCCAGCAATGGGATCCTAGACTAGTCACCCTGGGGGGTGGGGGGATGGTCCCAGTTTCTTCAGTTGTAAAATTGGGGGAGGATGAAGAAAAGGATCTGGATGGGTCCCTTCCTACTCTAGCCCTGAAGCTGAAGCTTACAGTGAATGGGCTGGTTTGTGCCGGCAAAAAGCCAAGAGTCTCAATGGGGAGCCCGCAGATGCTGCACAGTGAAAGGTTCTGGACCCAAAGAAGAGCGATGATTCCAAGGCGCGAAACAAAGGAAAACGGAATCCCTGTTCCATAGAAATAATGTCTTTATTTCCACCTGGATGCAGGTGGGGTGAAATCAAGAAAGGAATCTCCACATGGGTTATGACAGATGGGGATTTAAAGGGTCAGGGAGGGCAGCAATTGGTGGCATTCCTATTTCCTGGGAGGGACATGAGTCTGACCTGGGAGGGGCAAGTTATTTGGTACACTTGATACTATCACACAGGGCCAGGCCAGAGGAGGTAGAATAGGATGAAGTCAAGCCTAGCCTCATCTCTTCCATTCGCCTCACCCCATGCACCCTCTTTTTGGCCACATACAACACCGCTGCATTTTGGACATCATAAGGTCTCATGGGAATCCAGTGAGCTGCACCATGGGGATTTGGGGGAGAGCTCCTGGCTTCAGCTGTCAGGGCTCAGCCAGGGCTGCAGGATTGAGGACTCACAGTGGGGACAATCCTTCCTCCCCACCCCTCATCTGATGCCCACAGACATGCTGCTGCTTGGCCTAGAGGCCCTGGCTCTGGCTCACTCCTTGAGGGAGGCTCTGAGGTGTCCTCATCCCCTCTCTGGCAGCCAAAGTTCCTCTCTCCTGTGGGTTTGCTCCCCCATCTGATACGCTGCCCACTCCCTACCCAATTCCAACACTCTGCGGGAACTGAGCTCTTCAGCATCCTACCACTTGACAGCTGTGAGGCCTTGCACAACTCATTTAACCACCCGTGCCTCAACTTTTTCATCTGCAAAACGTGAGTAACAATAGGTCCTACCCATGTGGCTGCAGTGAAGGTCTGCAGGCTTGCCTGTTCTGGCTTAAGGCCTAATACAGTGCTAAGGAGTCGCTACTACCTGTATTAGCTACCATCTCCTCAGTCGCAGCTTCCCGCTTGCCAGGCGAGTGTCGCCCCTGAGTTCCAGATGCTTGGCCAAAGTCCCCTCGGCCAGGTGCACGTTTTCCGCTTGGAGCCACAAAAGAGCCCAGGACCACGCGGAGCGCGCAAACCTCTCTCTTGGCCACCCCCGCGCGGATGGGGGAGACCTCTCGGCCTCCACCCACCCTCCGGCCCCCGGCCCTGCAGGGTGCGGACTCACAGCCGTCAGTCTCCAACGCCTGCTCCTCTTCCATCCCGCCGCTGCGCAGCCCCCGCGCGCGCTGGTGCCCGGGCACGAGGCGCGCGGCCGCCCGGGCGCGAGTGGGGGGAGCCAAGGAAAGCGGATGGCTTAGGTGGAGAGTGGGAGCGACTGCACTCTAGACCCCTTGGCCCCGCATGGTCGGAGCGCAGCTGCAGCGGCCGCTCACATCCCAGACCAAGCTGCAGGTGGGTCCTCATGCTCTCTCAACCTTCCGTGGGTCGGCGCCACTCCTGGCTCTGCAGGTGACCCTGGGCATGTCTCCTCCCTGCCCTGGAGATGGGCAGATGGCATCCGGCAGGCACATCCTACTCCACCCTACCCCGGGGCTCTATCATCCTGCCTCTCGCTGGCCCAGAAAGTCAGACCCTGACGACTTGAGCAGACAGAGTTGAGGAACTGCAACCCCAGCAGGTTTGCAAGCACAGAAGAGATAGTCAGATTGCTTTGGATCAGAAAAATCATGTTAAAATGACAATGAGATATCACTTAAAAGTAAGTAGACTGGCAAAAATTAAAAACCTAGATAATGCCAAAAAATATATAATACATAAATAAAGCTAGATAATACCAATGTCACTGGAGAATGTGCAGCGACCACAACTGGTGGGAGTAGCCAATGGCTGTCATTCTGGAACACAGTCTGGCGGTAATGAGGGAAATTAACCACAGCAAACCTTAAAATCCAGTTCCTAGATATAGATTCCCAAAACTCTGTGGTAGGCCCCTAAAGGGATATGCAGGAGGATGTGCATTACTGTATTGTTTTGTGGTTTCCAGGAATTGGTAGCAACTGTGATTCATCATTGTGAGTTAATAGGTAAAAAGGCAATGGACAGCATTAGAAGCAAGAGACAAAATGTATTTGTGGAAACATGATGGCTAATGCCTGTAATCCCAGCACTCCGGGAGGCTGAGGCTGGAGGATTCCTTGAGCTCAGGAGTTGGAGACCAGCCTGAACAAGAGGGAGACCCTGTCTCTACTAAAAACAGAAAAATTAGCCAGGCGTTATGTCCAGCACCTGTAGCCCCAGCTACTTAGGAAGCTGAGGTAGGAGGATCACTTGAACCTAGGAGTCTGAGATCGCTGTGAGCTAGGCTTGACACCATGGTACTCTAGCCTGGGCAACAGAGTGAGACTCTGTCAAAAAAAAGAAAGAAAGATTGATTAAAGTATTGGGCAAAAAAAGCAAAACAATCGAGACACAATACCAAAAAAAAAATTTCAAATGCATGTACACAAAATGAGGAAGATTTGCAAAGACATGCAAACAAAAAGATGCAGATAAACACATGAGAATGGGTTGTACTTTAGACCCTTGGGAGAGGTCTATGTTTGCATTTTACAAGTTAAGGCAGTGGTTCTCAACCTTCCTAATGCTACGACTCTTTAATACAGTTCCTGTGGGTCGCAACCCACAGGTTGAGAACCACTGCTTTAAGGCATTACAGCTTCTTTTGCTTTGGTCAATAGCCCATTGGGTACAGTTCAGGAAGGCTTCCTGAAGATGTATTTGGAATGGCCTTTGAAAAATAACATAATGATAATAGCTAACAGTTAATGAGCCCTGAGCCAAGCACCTTGTGTAGGTAATCTCATTTTGTCCCCCAAACTGAACTATATATTGGGCGCTATCCTCTTCATGAGGGGGGGGTGTGTGACTGAAGCACAAAGTGGGTAGGTAACTCTCTCCACCTCACACCACTGAGTGGTGGACCCAGGGTTCTAACCCAGGTGGTCTGATTCAAGAACCATGGCATGAGCTTCCAACAGGACCTCGACAAGGTCAAAATGGGCAGACGGCAGATAGTTGGTCACTCTCCACTTCCTGGCCTCCCAGGTGGATGAAGCAGAGGTGCAGGGAGCAGCTGAGTCAGCAGAGCAAAATGCTTGTTCTATCCCCTTCCTACTGCAGCCACTGCTGCCTGAGGACTGTCCACACTCCTCCTGCCTTCCCCTGGGGAACCTGGAGGTCAGGGCCAAGTGACCATGAGTCAGCACTGAAGTGACATCCAAGTGTGATTCTCTCCAAAGGCGAACTCTGCAGGGATCCCCATAGCGCTGCACCCAGTGCTGGGTCCCACACCAGGCAGCGGCCACAGGTGAAGTCCAAGGATGTTCAATCAGGCCAGCAAGCCGGTCACTCCGCTGGGGCACTTCAACTCTACGGGGCGACTCTCCCTGGGAAGGAAAGCTATTTGAGGAAAAGCCTCAGAAAAGAGTGCAAGCATGTGCCCAGACGCGGGAGAACCCAGACGAGGGAGAACCCAGACGACAGCGGCCCACTTCTCTGCGCCCCTGTCTTTTGCGCTGGGCGTCCTCCCGGAACTCCCACGGGAGTGGGCGGTGCCCGCCCGGCACTGCTGCTGTTGCGGTTGTCGACACGCGGGGGAGCCAGAGCCGAGTAAGAGCTGCTGCGGTCAGTACCGTAATTCCCTGTGGTGTGCGCATTACATGATCTGTACCAAAAAAGGCCTAGATAGTGGCAGAGGGGCGCGAGGAGGGAGAGGCTAGGGATGAAGGCTGTAGTCTAATCTGAGGTGGGTGGGATCCGTCAGTGACGGATGAGGCATTGCGTGGAAAAGCGGAATGCCCACCCACCGAGTCCCTCCCAACTGGCGCGTTCAGGCCAGGCTTCCTGCTGTGCTGTTTTCTGAGGCTTTCCCCAAAATTGCCAGTAAGAGTAACTGAAAGCCAGACTGAGGACTTCCACGGGGCGGTAGGGGCGCAGCCAGAACGTTAGCAAATATGGGGTTAACTGCTAATTTATTCCTGCTGCCTCAAGAATGAAGAGAAAAACAGAATAACTTCATTCACACTGAGTTTGGGAATTACTATGGGTTCCTGTCAGAGGAACGTGTATTTTAGAAAAGCAGGAAGGGGAAATGCTTAACCAATAGGAACCTCTAAAGGCCTACTTTTGGAGACCAACAAGCAGGTGGGAGAGCTCTTTTTGCCTGGAGAATGGATGGGCTGACCTAGGTTGATAGGTAAGGCAGCTTCTGTATCTGGGCCCCAGAGCAGGGGGAGGTGTGCCTGCTGTGAAAGCCCAGTGTACCCTAGGACACAGGGTCCAGGTCCCAGGCCTCTATAGGAAGGTGGCGCAGCCATGTTCAATATTCTTAGGCAGTGACCACTGCCCAAGGCTCTGCCAGCCCAGCCAGTGTGGCTCAGGGTTGGGGGTAAGGGGAGAGCCTGGGGAAGCCAGGCAAAGAGAAAGGAAAAAGGGAAGACCTCCATTTTCTTATCTGGAAGGTGAAGATAATGCTACTACTTAATGCAAAGGACTGTTGTGAGATTCAATGCATTGGTGTTCCAGAAAGTGCTCTGTAACCAGTACAAAGGCTAGGCAGGAAATCTCTTCTGTGGAGGTCTTCCTGATTTCTCTAAACCCCAAATGTAGCTCTTTCCTGGGTTTCCCAGAGCCCAGGGTCCAGCCTTCACTGCCAGCCCTAGACTCCTTGAAGGTAGCTTTGTTTTGTAGCCGACAGCCCTGACTCCCACTACAGCTCTATTCCTACCCTAGTCTCTGCTTGACTGTGAACTTTTTTTTTTTTTTTGAGACAGAGCCTCAAGCTATCGCCTTGGGTAGAGTGCCGAGGCATCACAGCTCACAGCAACCTCCAACTCCTGGGCTTAAGCGATTCACCTGCCTCTGCCTCCCAAGTAGCTGGTACCACTGGAACCCACCACAATGCCCGGCTATTTTTTGGTTGCAGCTGTCATTGTTGTTTGGGGGGCCCAGGCTGGATTCGAACCCACCAGCTCAGGTGTTTGTGGCTGGCATCTTAGCCGCTTGAGCCACAGGCGCCGAGCCAACTGTGAACTTTTTCAAGCTAGATATGGTAGCTAATTCATAGAGATGGATTTACTCATTCAAAAATGAAATCTAGTAAGACTTGACGAAATGATACTAAAATTCATCTAAAAATAATAATAAACCTGATAAAACAGATAGCAAACTTATGAAAACAAAGAACAGCAGAAGGGGAGATGGGACCAGATATTGAAACATTTTTGACAGTGCCTATAGAGAATTTCTTTTTTTTAATGAAGGTAACCTTTATGCCATCCACTCCATTTCTAAGAATCTATACCACAGAAATAATAGCAGTAATTGGGCAAAGATAAATGTGCAAGGATGTCTGCTGAAGTAGTTTTTGTAACTGTAGCAAACAACTGGAAACAACCCAAGGGTCCATCAATAGGGGTTGATGAAATAAATTGTGATACAGCAGCACAATGCAGTGCTGAGCTGTCGTTAAAGAGGAATGAGCAAATCTGTATGTGCTGAGGTCGGAAAGTAAAGTTTGAGTCTATTTCTTTAAAAATATTCTCTAGTCACTGCCTTCCAACTTTTATCTATCAAATTTCCCTCCCCTGTCCCAGGATGACAATCTGGCAGATACTGTGCTTTGCAATCCCTTTAGGGGATATTGAAAGTCTGGGTCCAACCCAATTTTAAATTCCAAGCTCTTTGCATCTTCAAAATACATATAGGATAGATATATGTCATGTTATTTTAAACTTGTTTATTTCTCATCACAGCCCTCTGAAGTAGACACTATAATTATCATCCACATTTTATAGATGAGGAAATTGCGGTAGAGAGAAGTTGAACAATTTCCCCTAAGTCACAGAAATTATAAATGGCAGAACAAGGGTCGATATTTATAACCACTGTGTTATGTCACCCTATGCTCACAGGACCTTGAAAGAGACTTTTCCTTGTCTCAGAATTTCAGCTGACATACATATCATTAACTAGATAAACTAGAATTCATTTAGCCATTGCCTTAATGATAGACATAAAGATTATTTTGAATCTTGTGTATTAGAAACAGCACGGTGATTAACTTCTATGCTTGGGTATCTTTGTGCCCTTGTGCAACTATTTCAATAGGTTAGTTTCATAGAAGTGCAATTGGAGGGGGCAAAGGTAAATTTAAATTTAGACGGCTGTTCTATATGCCTATTGCCATATAACAAACTAC